TCTTGATGTTTCCTGCATCATTCAATATTTTGTCCATAGAATCTCTCAATATTGCAACTCGAGGCTTAAATTTTTCCTCATTTCTTTCAGCTTGAGAAATGCTGAGCATGTTCTTCCCTTTTGGTTTTCTAACTCCTGGTCTTGTGCATTTCATTATAGTGATTGGCTTTGTCTGTTTGAGCTACTCTTTGAAATCTTCTGTTCAGCTCTTTTATCTTATCATTTCTTCCATTTGCTTTAGCTACTCTCCATTCAAGAGCACGTTTCAGAGTCTTTTCTGACATCCATTGTGGTCTTTTGTTCTTTTCTTGTCTGTTTAATGACCTCTTGCTTTCTTCATGGATGATGTTCTTGATGTCATCCCACACTTCTTCTGGTTTTTGGTCATTGGTGTTCAGTGCATCAAATCTATTCTTTAGATAGTATCTAAAATCAGGAGAAATATTATCAAGGTCATAGTTTGGCTCTCATGGACTTGTTTTAATTGTCTTCAACTTCAGGTTGAACTTGCATATGAGCAGTTGATGGTCTGTTCCACAGTCAGCTCCTGGCCTGGTTTTGGCTGAAGATACTGAGTTTTTCCATTGCCCCTTGCCACAGATGTAGTCAGTCTGATTTCTGTGTACTCCATCTGGTGAAGTCCATGTGTTTAGCTGCCGTTTGTGTTGTTGAAAAAAGATATTTGCAATGAATAAGTCGTTGGTCTTGCAAAATTCCATCATACAATCTCCAGCGTTATTTCTGTCACCAAGGCCAAATTTTCCAACTACCAGTGATTCTTCGTTTCCAACTTTTGCATTCCAGTCATCAGTGATAATTAACACATCTTGATTGCACATTCTTTCAATTTCAGACTTTAGAAGTTAATACAACTCTTCAATTTTGTCATCTTTGGCTTTGGTGGTTGGTGCATAAATTTGAATGAGAGTGGTCTTCTTTGTAGGCATATGGATGTTATCCCATCACCGACAGCAATTGTACTTTAGGACAGATCTTGAAACATCCTTTGTGATGATGAATGCCACACCATTCCTCTTTAAATTGTCATTCCTGGCATAATAGGTCATTTGTTTGTCTGATTCAAAATGGCCAAAACTGGTCCATTTCAGCTCACTGATGCCTAAAATATCAATCTTTATGCATTCCATCTTACTTTTGACAACTTCCAATTTCCCTTGATTCATACTTCGCACATCTCATGTTCCTATTATTAATGGATGTTTGCAGCTGTTTCTCCTCAATTTGTGTTGTGCCCCGTCAGCAAATGGAGGTCTCAAAATCTTTACTCTATCCATGTCAGTAAGGCTGGTTCTACTCTGATGATCCAGCTCTTTCCTAGTTTATTTTGAAAGCCGCCTGTCCTAAGCGGCTTGTCCTCCTGCACTGTATCAGAAAATGTTTCAATGTTTCAGTGTTTCAAATATCAATGGGCTATTGATAAAGTTGCGCAGTAATATATCAGATAGAGTTTCTTTGCTATTCATAGGGTTTTCCCTGGCCAATTCTTTGAGAAGTGGATGGCCTCTTCCTTCTTCCTAGTCTGTCTCAGTCTGTAAGCTGCATTGAAACCTGTGCACCATGTGCATCCCTGCTAGAACTTGAAACACTGGTGGCACAGCCTCAAGCTTCACAGCAGCGTGCAAGCCACAATAGTACGACAAACTGACAGACAAGTTTGTCTCACTTAGCTGTTTGAAACCTCTCTGCCCTCACCTTACCTGGATTCCTGGCACTGCTCTGCTCTCCCATCCCCCTGGTTTCTCTTTCCCCTGCTTTCCTGGTTGATGGGGGGGGCCTGGATCCTTCTCTCCCCTTAGCTGGATGCTTGTCTGCTGCTCTGCTCTGTCATCGCTTTGAGTAGTATTGACATTTTCATAGTGTTCAATCTTCCTATCCATGAGCATGGTTTGTTCTTCCGTTTATGTAAATCTCTTACGACTTCTTGGAGTAGTGTTTGTAATTTTCTTTGTACAGGTCTTTTGTGTCCCTAGTGAGATTTATTCCCAGGTATTTTATTTTTTTGGTAGCTATTATAAATGGTATTGATTTCCTTATTTCCTTTTCATCAATCTCTTTGCTGGTGTAGAGGAATCCAACTGATTTTTGTATGTTGATCTTGTATCCTGCCACTATGCTGATTTGTCGATTAGTTTGAGTAGTTTTTTTACTGAGTCTCTTGGGTTTTGTATGTATAGGATCATATCATCAGCAAATAGAAATTGTTTGAGTTCTTCCTTATCAATTTAGTTGCCCTTGATTTCCCTTTTTTGCCTTATTGCCCTGGCTAGGACTTCCAATACAATGTTGAATAGAAGTGGTGATAGAGGGCATCCTTGTCTGGTTCTTGTTCACAAGGTGGAAAAATGGCGAGGAGGTCACATGTTCTGACCTCCTCTAATCCCACAAGAGGAAGACAGGATTACCAGCAGTAACCCAAGGCCTATTTCTGCCAGGCCAGTCATGCTGCCTCCCCCCTCCAGCCCTTGCTCCAACTGTTCCTCCCAAAGCACCCACCACCTCTTTCCTGGGTTCGATAATTCTCTGCAGTGGCCACACAGAACTCACAGATTATGAGTTTATTAGGGAAGCACCACAGGCTACAATTCAGGTTCAGGAAAAACTCTCAGTCTCTCTCCCAGCCCACCGTCCCTCAGCCAGCAGTCTCTCACAGTCTCTTTCTCAGCAGTGCTGGTCCCTCGGTGTCTCACTCAGCAATGCGTGTCTCTTGCGTCTCTTTCCCAGCAACGCGTGTCTCAGGAGCCCGTGTCTCTTTCAGCAGCACGTCT